AAAAAAAAAAAGAAATTGCGTTCTAACAAATGGACATGCTCTGCAAAAAGCCCCATTGTGCGGCTGGCTGTCACAGCGCGTTCCCCACACAAAGGAGCATTGTGTGCCGCGGATCCGATTTGGGATGCGGGCTGAAGGATATCTGGGGACAGCCAGTGGGAGACTCGCTCCGACGGTGGCTCCTCCGGGCAGCTGTCTGTGCTCGTGCCCCAGCGCTTGTATTGCTGCCCGCTGCGGGCACGGGCTGCTTGCTGACCTGCTACCGACTGCGAGAGCCTTGTGATGGGGAGCCCATGTATCAGAAGTGAAAGGCTGTCAATCCCACCCCACCATCTCCACAGGCTGCTCTGGCTATCTCCTAGGCCTCCCAGATTCATTCCTGGTTGCTGCTTTTACAGCCTTTCTCCTCTCATACTGATGCCTCCCGTGAATTTCCTGTCGGGTCTCTTGCTGTCCTTCGGAGCTTTTCTGCCTATCCTGTCTGTCACCCCACTTTGGTTGTGGTCCAGCTCAGTGACCCTTTGCTGTGGTCACAAATATATATGTGTGTGTGTATGTATATACATATTTTTCCACACAATTGTGCAGTGCAAATGCTGGCAGTGCAAAGGCCTGAGGAAGGGGGAACACGAGGCTTGTGGTGGGATGTGCTGCTCCTCACACAGGAGAGGACATGGGTCCTTAGAGCCACCCAGTCTGTCTGCAGCTTTAGGTGCTGGCTTCACCTCTGTGTTGGTTGGTTTGCCCTGCTTCTATCAGTATCATCCCCTTGTCTCCACTCTTCTTTCTTGAAAAGTAACTTTAGGGTGATATACACACACATGCACACACTTGTATTAAAAAAAAAAAAAAGTTTCCCATCTTTTCCTCTAAAAGATGTGGGAATTGGCTATTTGGGTATTTGGGCAACAAACCAAATACTTCATCTTGCTTTCAGATGGCCCAAAACAGAGCTGGGAGAAAGCTCTGCTGCTGCGTCTGGGGTAAAGAAATGCTGTTATCTTCATGTTAGTGATTTCTAAGCAAATTCACTTTGCAGATCTATGATCCTGGAATCTGAAATGCTGAGGGTTTGGAAACACAGTACATAAATCTTCACAATGTTTCTTTAGCAATTCCTCTGTATGATCCCTCTTTGAAAGTCTCAAGGCTCAGTGCTAGCAGCTTTTGAGGTACGGCCAATGACACCATCTGTTCTTTGTCATCTCCTTTTGGATACGGATACCAGCACATCAAAACAAAGCTCCTGTTGTGGGACTGATATCTCTCCTTCTCTCTTTGTTCATTCTTTGCCTCCTAGGAATTTGGCAGCACAAAATCGATCACGTCGAGGTGCGACTTCCTAGAGAACCTTATTGCAAATGGCTGTACAGGAGCCATCGAGAACCCTAAAAGCAGCATTAACATAGTGAAGAACATTCCTCTGAGCAGCAAGGGCTCTGGCTTGACCCATTTGGATGTTACACAAATAATGCCTCAAAAGATCTCCTTGAATCTTCGGCCTGGTGAGTCCCTGGCAGCTCTGAGCTGTGTTCTGGCTTAGAAGAGGTCTTGGAGGGGGGAAATGTTGACAGCGTGTTATAGCCTGTGATGTTGAAGACAGTTAAACAAGTGGCTGCTGGCTCCTTCCCTGAACTTCAGTGGTGTGTCTTGAACAGAACTGGGTCTATATCCTATATAAAACATACATAAATACTTGTCTTGATCCTTTCAAATATTTGCAAAAGACCTGCTCAAAGTAAAGCTGCCATCAGTGGATGGAAGAAGTTAGAACAACTGTGGATCCGACACTGACCCGACAGTGCTTGAATCTAGGCACTGAGATGGCTTTTTGTATAAATTAAGAAAAAAAAAATGCATGTCTGTTTTCTGTTGGTATTTATATCAAAAAAAGGCATGAGAAAGGTCTAGATTGAGATTTGAACTTTTGACTGAGAACTGGGACTATGTCCATATCCCTGCTAAATTCCCCTGAGCCATCACTTTTCTATAAATCTTTTTCTTTAATTAAAAATGAAGAGTGAAAGGCTAGACTGAGCCCTGCAAGTATGCTTGTTATCAAAAGTTTTTACTTGGTGGGGGGAGTCTTTAATGTGGGTTCAGAATTCTTGAAAAATTTTGGCATCTGAGGCTTCTTAAGAAAAAAAAGCTCTTTATGGGAAAGTCAAGAAGCAAATATAAAAGCTTGATTCATTATAAGCAATTGGTGTAGGTTTTTGAAACTTGTTTTGCGTCAGCTTTCATGAGCTTTCAAAAAAATGAAATAAGGATGTTTTGTCCTGGAAAAGCGGTGTTTTGAGCTGGTTTTCAGTAGCACACTACTAGCGTTAAGAGGCATAAGTTTTTGCAGAATTTTAAACATGTGTTTAATTGTAGAGGTTTGAAAAGTAGTGATGTTGTTCTAAACTAGATTTTTCTAAGCATTATTGTTGGTGTCATCACCCATACCCTCACCTGCAGTGAAACTTGCTTCAGAATTCTAAAAGCAGCTACCGGCTTAAAATTGTCCATCCTTGCATCCCTCTCTAGATGAGCCTTCCTCAAGAGCAGGGTGCTGAGACCAGGCAGCCTGGAGCGAGGAGTGTGCCCAGGCCAGAGGCTGCCTCCAAGGCAGGCTGGGGCAGGGAGGCACATTTCACATCGCTTCTGCTTATGAAATAAGTCGATGCCTGTGAAAGAGGAGTCATTGCCTCCTGTTTCTTGAGGCAACTGCTGGTGGAAAAAGCTGGTTGAGGAAAGCTCGGCTTTGAAATCTTGCCTCCTTCGCATGCAGCAGCCAGTGCCTGGCAAGTGCCACAGCTGCCCACACAGGCAGTTTTGCACCACGGGCAGCACAGATGCCCACTCCTAGGCTTTTGGAGAGGGCGCGAGGATGGTTTGGCTATGTGAATTCCTTGGGACTGGTTGTTGGCTGCTGCTTTGGCTGTGCTGAGCTAAGCACAGTGGAAAGCTAAGCTGAGACAGCTGAGACTGCTGCTTCTCCAGCGGGAGAGAAAAAAAGGAACAGCCAGAGGAAAGAGGAGCAGGAGTCTCCCAATGAGCTTTTTAGCCCTCTCAGCCAGGGCTCACCCAGCCTCTTGTAACTGGGTTATATTGATCTGCCAGGGTGGTTTAGAAGCACATTTGTTTGCTTGTTTGAAAGTGCCTCGTGCTGAGGAGTTGCCCTGAAGGTTCATGTAGCCCCGCTCACCATCTGATCTGGGAGCTCCTTCTGTGCTCCTGCTGCTGAGTATTGGAGTCCCTGCAGGAGGGGGAATGTTTCTCCATGTCTCTAATAGTATCTTCCATCTTTTGATGTTGAGCAGTATTCCATCTTTCTTAGGGCTAATGATTTCCTAAACCCTTGAAC